ACTGTTGAGGTATTTGAACATTAACAGTAATCTTACTTCAAGTCAGGAAGAAGAGACGAATTACATCTACCATCCGAAGAAAGGAGCCATAGACCTTCTTGCACGAGTTTCTGCTTAGGTATACTCATTGGAATATGTACGATATCAGAGACGATGTCCCGTTCATATCGAAACCAGTCCACATTGGTCATCCGCCTAAAAACTTATACATTAGGAAAAGAAATGATCATCCAGAAATAGGAGCCCAGGACGTCGAACAGAAGGACCAGAATGTTATGGGAGTGCCGGACAGAAATTTTAGCGTTCTGACTGGAGTCCTGAAACGAAGTGCCTACATGAATGATAAAAGGATAAAGTTTTTGGCGTTTCTCAATCCCGTCTAAGGAATGTGCCACACAAGTTCCATTCAGAATCGTAGTGGGGTGAAGAGTGCGTATGAGGCCTATTCAATGATCCGCGGTTGCCAACCAGTGTACAAATCGGTGCTTTTATCCTCCCAGGCGACCACGGAGGGATGGAAGGCTTGGTTGGCAGGTGGATATCGAACCGAGATTTGAATCTCTGACCATGCGTGTGAGATAGTGTGCCACTTGCCACTACACCACCTCCGCCCAGATATTAATATAAATCCTTACTCTTATGGACAAAGCTATGCGTGACGACAGACGGCCTCCGTTAGAAGCTAGAAACATTCGATACTTAACTACAATCACATTCAAAACCTAAATTTCTTCAGAATACGTCGATGAGAGTAATATCAATGGCAGCTCACCACTACTCACTTGACATGACTTTTTTCCCGATATGGCAAAATGACGAAGTGCCCCTTTCTTGTAGTTCTTTTTAAAGAGTTTTGCACACTTTTGCTGGTTCTGGTGGAAATAATAAAGGGTAGAGGGCGCACTCGTTCGACATTACCCTATCCCGTGAGGAATATGCCCACTCAGTACCCCATTCGACTCCTATTCGAAATCGTTATGGCGTATTTAATGGGCATGCGGCTTGTACGATGTATGACTTGCGGTGGTCATTCGATGTACTTAACTCTGGAAGGATGGAACGCTCGGTTTGAATAACAGATAACGATTCAAACCCCTCACCCTATGGAACAGTCTCTTGCCTCTCGCCACTACACCACTTCCGCCCGGTGGTAACAATAATGAAATCTAAGCTAACTATAAGTTAGTCCTTCTCCTACGCTCCGACGTATATGATCTTCTTCTTATTCTCAAGCTTCTGTCCCGCTTGAAGTAGAGTAAGCTTTTCTGATATTTTAACGCCACTTCTCCCGGTTGAGCGCTTGATCAGGGTGGACCTTAACCGTTTCCAAATCTTCGTGTAACGTATCGAACCATCGCTTTGTGGAGCCCTCTAATGACTGCTCCAGCATTTTGGTAGATAGGTAATCACTACAGCCTTCAATAATATTCATAACGTTTTAACTAACTGTTTTGGCAGAAGAACACATTCGAATGCCTTTGGTGCAGCACAAATGTACATAACAGCACTTTCAGCTGTTGTGTACTGGTATGAGAGTAGTTCAGCGATCTGAATGCCAAAAAGTCGAACAAAATTCATTACTTGCGCATGACTGAAAAATGAAACGAACATATTCGAGGATCCCTGGTCCAACAGCGTCCATTCTCCCTCGCGCAAAGAAGGACGTCAGATCGATGGCATTGCTCGTATTCTGAAAAGCTCATTTGAACTAGTTCAAAATGGAAGTAATAGCATATAGTAGGTCTCAGATTCAGTGCGCAATATCGTCTTTACAATTCCCTTCTTCCTTATGAGCTTCATTTCGCTGTCCCTCTTGGCTAAAATAATCCCCCTCCGTTAAGGTTTGCCCTTTTCGTGCGTTCATCTGCTTAAAAAAGGACTAAACTGCGTAAGGACCATTACAAGGGATTTTCACAGGACCGCTTGGTTTGTAGAGGAATTGCCACAAACTAACAGGGAAAAGCGGTTCTGTAACGACTTTTTGCAAATGATCTTGACACAGACTGGTTCGTTTTTACGCAGATTCATCCGTAAAGATGCAGAAATGCGTAAAAATGGGGTAATCTGCGTAAAAACATACATACTATCCAGTGGCTGCTTTCATAGTCCGCCGGCCGACTATGAAAGCAGCCAGTGGCGTATTCAAGTGTATCCTCGACATACTGGACCGTCAATAAATTGAAAGAAGTCGTTGTTGTGTTGTCATTAGACTAGGCTAGCTGTGCTACACTGTCGCACCCAGCTGTGTGGCGTTATGCCTCTGGAATTTCCATGGCGAGTGGCGTTAACCGTATCCTTCCACTGGTAACTAGAATATTTCTCTTCTTAACACGCGATTGCGCGCAATCGTGTGCTGCGAGCGCGACGCGATGTTCGGGGAAAGGTACCCACACTTCACTTAGCCCAAGACCACATTTCGCTAGTTGAACTAATATCTCATTGAATCCCTTTATTCCCACTAATAAAACCCTTTCTCCGTATGGCAAAGGCGCGCACTACTATTATATTTCTAACCCCATGACTGGCCTCACTCAGATGTTTTTATATGTTTTCGAAGTGCTTCCGCATTATGAGAATACAGAATTC